AAACACGGGTTAGCGAATTGGCCCCAGGGCGAGACCGAATGATAGTTAACGTACCGCTAAACGCCATTGGAGAGGACCTCGCGTCCCTTCCCGGCTGGAATATACAGGCAAGCCTCGTATATTGCGTACGCGAGGGGACCGAAATTTAATTTTGTGCTTTTTGTACACGCCAAATCGTTGTCTCTCCCACTTCGTCGCTCGTTGCCCTCTTCTTCTCTCTACCCTCTCGCCTTCGCTCTGATGAAACGGGGGCGATAACGCAGGCGTCGAGGAGATTTCGCCGCGATTTTGGCCGTTTCCCGCGACACCGTTCCGAGGAATCGACCACCACCATTGCGTTGCTGAATCTCGTTCGTTTGTGCATCACGCTTGCGGCACTCGGAGACACGTATTTTTTTTATCCTGACGAACACTTCATAGAATGCAATTTTCTTTGGGTACCAATACCTAAAATATACTATTTCGATTCTTTGGTATTAAATGTACGGTGATATTCGTCTTGGATCTCAACTATCTTCCTTATCCATGTCAAATGGGTATCTTACTATGTCAGATCAGAATGTTCCGAGACTGTTGATAAAGTTGTAAGCTCGAAAGCTTCAAATCGTAATCCTGTAGTTTCAGTTCTTCAATCGTATCAACGATATCTTCTCGGGTCGTCATAACCGAACGACAATTATCCATCACCTCGGCTACCAATAGCAATTCGATCGTTCCTCGTTCACACGATCACCTCCATCCAATCAAAACGAATTCTCGAAGCGGGTCTGTTCAGCGAACACAATGATATGCCAATCGACAATCGGTGGTTAACTAATTTGCCCCGGTGACATGACGTATCGGCCGTCCTAAATTGACGCGGACTCGCTGAAACGAGTGAGCAAGGAGGAAACGGTGGAAGCGGTACGAGCGAGACGCAGCTTGGAGATGGTTGACTTGATGAAATCATGCCGCGAGAATTAAACGGGGGATACCCGTGGCGTGTGTCGTCGTCGTCGTCGTCGTCGTCGTCGTCGTCGTCGGCGGCGGCGGCGGCGGAGCACTCGGCTCGAGCTCCAATTGGCGGGAGCAAGACAACGGTAGGAGTTGACTGCAGTGTATACACAGTTAATTAAGCCGGAGTACCACGGAGGACGATGGAACCGGGACGAGGAGAAGGCAGGAGGGAAGAACGGACAGAGAGGTGTACACCGGAGAAAGAGAAGGGGTCAGAGTGAAAAGAGACAAACGTGCCCGACCGGTCGACAGCGAGAGAGGGACGAACAATTTTGTCCTGTGGGCTGCAAAGGTAATTTGCTCTCTGGATATGCAGTCTCAGTGGTTCTCAACGCGATCCATCGCGAACGACGCGTCGTTGATCCTTTTTGCTGGTTGATTCCGAAATTTCGTTTTCTCGTCTCGAAGAAGGAAAGAGTTCCGGTGGTAACCCTTTGCCGATATGGCCGCTTTGACGACCCTCTTCGCTCTCTTCATCGATATTAGCGTAAACAAAATCGAACGCTCGATTGGCGGTGCTTTTTCGTGGCGTGGCCGATTTTTCCCGGCTTTCCCGGCCGGGTTATTGCGCGATTGTCAGCCATTGTCGAAGAAATTGCGAACGCGAAATTGCGTTTCGCCGGGCTGCTATTCTTGCGAACAGCCGACCGTCGGCTATCGGTGAATTTGAATTAAAAAGCAATACGAACACGCTCTCGGAATTGTTAGAAATGCGCATTGTACTGAACGCGTAGTCGAGTTTTCCGAAACTTTCCTAACTCGATTTCGACCCGCTTCCCTCCCATGACAAATTTTTCCCCTTTTTTTTTTCATTTTGCTAGCGATTCTATTCGAGTCGTTATCATTTCTGTGACACGGACTTCGATCGCTGCCTGCTACGCCACTGGGACTGGGACGAACGAATCAAAGCTGTGGAAAATGTCAAAAATGAAACCTAAATTCGAGGTATTCTGTGGACCTCCGCGGTTTTGCGCAGGCAATGAAATATAATTCATTGAAGTTTTCCGTAACTTCAATTAACGTATTTTTGCCTGGTTCACTGCAGATTGATTCAGTTCTATAGAATATGAACAAGTGCAAAGCTGAAAAGAAATAAGTAGGGGTATGTGGATATTCGAAAAATCGGGACTGAAATTAATATTCTTCAAGAACCGTATCGTTATTACCCACTTCTGATACCTTCGAGTTCCACCTTCTTCCAGTACAATTTCAAGATTACTCGAACGCTTACAGTGACGTACGACGGATTAACCGTCGGAAATCTGAAGATCCTTCTCGAGTGGTTTTCTCACCGGACACCCCGCTGCGAGTTTTCCCAAAACCTGTCGCGAAATCCGTCTAACATTAACAATAGCGATACACTCGAACAACGCCACCCGTGGCTACCGTGGGCCAAACATGCTTTTCTTTCGCGAAAACATCGACGCGCTTTGGATTCCTTTCATCTTTCCGTTTCGCACCTCGTGATCGTCGCGCACGAAGAAGCAGCGGCTGAAAAATCGTCCAAGGAAAATTGGAGCGGATTCAGCCGCTGTGAAACGGTCTCAATGCCGGGACACAACGAAATTAGACTTATCTCGGTGATCGAGGCCCAGTAGAAACGCAGCTGCGTGGATTCGCGTGAATAGGCAGCCTAGTTTTCCTTCATTGTGCCTCGTTTTCGAAGGCTCGCGTCCGATTTGCAAACAATTTTCTTCTGTCCACGTTGCTCCTTTCGACGGCCAGGACACGCGCCATTGTGAACGACCGATCGATCCTGATCGCTGATCTACGAGACGAGCGCCACAATGAGCAGCCCCGTGCTCCTAATACACCGGCTATACAGATTTTAGGTAATTTCCAAGAGATTCGATTTTCCTCCCTTTATCGGGCCAAGAATGGACTACCTTACTCGTATGCCGCGTTCTTACAAGCGTATAAATTTCTTTTAGATCGGAGAATATCGAGGGTGCAGGGCTCTTATCTGGGCTACTTCGACAGGCAAGAGTGGTTTAGGGAATCCTCTGTAGAATCCTCTTTTAACTTTTGAAACTGAAGCAACTTTTCATTTACCTCCCCTTAAATCAAAAAATAAATCTTCCATAACAGAATACGTCAATTTTGTCAGACAGAAGGTAAACATTAGACGAGGAATTCGCTTATCTGTCAGCCGGGACGGTATCAGCTGCTTCCAATACGTCAAACAGGTTAAAACGTTTAACCGTTACGACTACCTGAGAGTTTTTCGAGCTAACAAGAGAGACCGGAACTCTGGGATCCCCTGAGTTTCGTCGAGGATCAACGCTCAGGAAATTAGCTAAAACTGGAGCTAAGTGCTCCCGTTGCTTCTTAACCGGGCCAGGCACCAAATAATCGCGCCGATCCAACTCTCGAGCTCGGTCCCTCGATCCTCTGGCAGATATTTATCGCGGTAAGTGGGATCCGGTTAAATGCAACTTCTGATCTGATTTCTACGGGACCTAAAAGCCTTTTCCTCCACCACGAGCCAGATTCCTGACTCAGATTACCCCCATGGAATACGCTCGGTGCTTGTTAACGCGTGTATATTCGACGTACGACAGCCTGTGCCACGTGGGAATATTGTACGAATCCTTTCGAGCGAATTAAAGATCGATAGATCGCAAAGGGTTGAAATTAAATTTTCTCATCACAGGAATACTTATAATTTCCAATGACTTCAGTTTAGGCGTTCGTGAAATACGGTTGGCGCGCTATTTCGTAGAACAATTATAATCGGGACGCGTGGTCCAGGCGGTAGGCTTTTTCTACTAACAAAAGGAACGTGAATCGGTTCGAAACGTATAATTTGGCTGGATTTAGCCAGATCGATTTTGAACAGCTACTGTTTCGCTACAGGCGGATATCTTTTGTGTCGCGGTTTTGTGGGCGTACACTTCCCCCTGGGCTAAAACGCCAAATGGTAACGACGATACGCGGAATCGAATGTGGAATGGGGAAAACGGGGATTTGTTTTGTGCACGCCGGTCTTCGGTTGCGCGAACGAAAAAGAAACAACTTCCATGCCGGACGCGGCGAGCCGTCCCAGACGAGCGAAAACCGTCCGTTCTCCTTGTCTCTTTGTCACGAAGCTAATTCCGAAAGTTTGTGAAAGGAAATCGAGATAAAAATCTGTTGCAGTGTCTGTGGCTCGGCTGCGGTTTCGATCGACCGCCGAAAACACGGAATATCGAGATCGCCCGGGAAATAACATTGTATCAACTATGGACCGATGGTTCACGCACCATTTTCCTTTGTAATAGTCAGATACCTAACATTGGAATTTTACATTGGCCGTTTTGAATTTAATCAAATAATTGGATAAGACCTATTACAGCAGCATCAGTTTGAAAATAAAAATATAAAAGCAAGCTGCAGGAGATCGAAACGAAGCAATTAGACAGAGAGGCAAGCTTGGTACAACGTGTTAACTGGTTTAGAAACAATTGTCTTCGAAAAGTCGCCGATCTCGCTCGGTGCACGCATAATACGTGCGGTAATACGAGGGGGTAGCGCGCGCCAAGTCGTAGAAGCGTAGAAGGCTCGGCGTAAGCGGTAAGCTTTACCTCATTTCTGGCAATTACAGGGAATGCCAGAATCCGCCGCAAGAATCAAGCCGCACCGGTCTCGCGTGTGTGCGGCGTCCGTTTACGGGAAGCGAACCCTCTGTGTATCGCGCGTGTGTATCCGTCCCTCGAAGCGTTCACACAACCCTATCTACCCTTCTACACGAACGCGAAATTGGCATTGTATGCGGACGGTGTCACAGAAGCCCGACGAAAGCCACCACCTCCTCTACCCCTACGAATTAACCCCACCCAGATACCGCGAGGGAGGGTTGACGCGTTCGTCCAACGATTTGAGCACCACTGTCTCGCCATGTTCTTCGATCCCTGCCCCGATTGGCTCCGCAACCAACGAACAGCGAAGCGGATTCGTGGAACCAAGCCACGCCTCGTTCAGCAAATGCTGGACCACCTCTTTCCAAGCCTCGCTTCTTCAAGGTGGAGTAGTTGTGTGCTACTACAACAAAGGCCACCCCGCTGCTGCTTGGCCAACCGACTAGTCCTCGTTGGCACGACGCACGCTCAACAACTTCCACCTTAGCCGGCCGACTATTACTATTTTATTTCCCTCTGGCCCACCGTGACTGACTTGTCTCGCCTCTTCCACGGACTTTCGACTTTTCATCCACACCGATCGACCTTTCAAGGGGTTTCTAGATCGACCATACACCGTGAACACTATTTACAAAATCAGGGATAAAGAATGGTTCGTCGAGGGTAGAGTCTTGTGATGATACCGGAGATGTTTACACTGATCCATCTGATATTGAATAGTGTTGAAGAAATTGGAGCTTAATAATCAGTGTCGTGTGGCAAGGATCAGTCATGGAACGCGGTTGGAGTAAACGGTACCGTTGTCAGGATCGTGTGCCTCTTCGCGTGGAAATTGTCGTTCATTAAAGATACTCTGATTAGAGACGCTTTGTGGACAGTAATTAACAAGATAGTGACAGAAGAATCGAGTGTTCAAGAGGACATTTTTAACAGAAACAAACATCGCCACGTGGTAGGGGGTGAAATCTTGGAAAATGCATTTTCTAGTCGAAGACACGTGTCCTGGACAATCGTTTCGTGCGTCGATTCAGCACTAGCGCGTTTGCGAAGGATCATTCGACGGATCCTTTCCTCACTGGCGATCTAAATAGCGGGCGATCGAGTTTCTGGATTTTCTACGATGGATTCGCAGCAGCTCGTTGATACAGCCTCTCAGAATAGCCAGGACATCGTCCTGCCGAAACCAGCGAGTAGCACACCCAGGCACAGCATCGACGCGATCCTTGGACTTGCAAATAACAAAAGGAGCCATCAAGAGATGGAGGATAACGCTCGAGACAGCCAGGAAAACACTGGTAACGTTTCATTCCATCGCTTTATCGGTTTAGAATAATTGGATTTCAGCCAGTGTGCCTTTTATTCGAATTGCATTTGTCACAATGCATCGCGAAGAGATTTAGGGCACTTGTAAGATTACGCAGTGATTTGTTTCTTGAACTTTCCTGTATGTTGCTATTTAATTAGCAATAATCTAGATCTCGCGCTAATGTTTGCTTGCAAAATTGTTTTGAAGCTTTTGTCAGAGGGACTTTGGGAAAGTTTAGGAGTTCATTTAGAATTTGGATAGCAGAAAATGATGTAAAATTTATACTGATTCGTTAAGAGGATCAATTTATTCTAATGATCTACATACAATGATTGTAAACGTCGCACGATCTGTCCGACGGACTGATTCACGCATGAGCCGACATCGATTCTCAAGCGTTCCTCTTGCTACCCCTGCATTAGATCCAGGACACTGGATCCCAAATCCCAAAACGGCTCAAGTTACCCTCAGAGACTTATTAACAAAGCAGCTTCGATCAATCATTTCATCCAATTACTGGTTTCGCTATTATCCTGCGCTCCAATCGAGACTTCAATATAATCGGCCGTATCAAACCGCAGGAGTTTCGATCAGAATTCTCATTAACTTCAGACTTTACATTTTTTAATGGCCTAAGAAATTTTGAAACTTCAATTTACCGCCTTTTAATCCTTTCAGTGAACGTTCAGAATGATTGTTCCGATATGTCGCTCATAATTAATGGAACAAATAAATTGGTATGCGTGTACCGTGCCGATCGAGACAATTAATAATACGCTAGTTAAGGAAATTGAGATGACGATCCTGATAATTCTATCCTTAATGCGTCTTGGGCGTTCGCTAATTGCTCATACGCATTAGCACCTTTTTGTCCGCGTTAGAAATCAGGAAATAATTGCTTGCAAATCGAAATTTCTCAGTATATAATGTTCCTTTTTAAAATAATTTTATTGCATAGCTTTCACATTTTTCTTATTTAATAATAGAGGTTTGTCCAAAATCAATTGCAATAGAGTTGAAGATCTAACGCGTAAATCCATCATCTAAATCCGATAATGCAATCGGCTACTTATAAAACAGAACACCTACTCTCGGCCAATGCATTTCGTCTGCTTCAGTGTCACACTGAATAATTTCTTTGATATAGATTTGACGAATTTAGTACTTATCAAGCTTTGTTTATTAATTCACAAAATAAGCAACCTTAAGTTTTTCCCTCGAATCACGACTCGACTGGCATAAGGTGTAATTGAAAAATCGTTAGTATCGCGAGGATCTGTATGGCGGTGTTAGTGGCACGTTGTCGTGCACGGGCGCTAATTAGTCGTCCGGGACGAGGTGAAACGCGAGCCTGTCTCCTGTATCGGCCCGTCTAAACGTATATCCGATAATTCCAATTTCGAGAGCGAACCGTTGCTTCTCTCGTGTCGTGCTGCTGGATACTCGGTTGTTGTCTCGGCAAAACGCTCTAGCCACCGACTGTCGTTCGCGATGTCACCGATGTAGAAGGTATCGGCTGCACGCGGCCGCACCGCTATCGACGCGACGCGACGCTCTCGCCGGAAGGGTCGAAATCGACAAAACAATTTCGTACGGGCGCTGGTTGGTTCGTTGCTTTTTTTCGCGTGTCATCGAAAGCCGCTGTTAACGAAAAAATTACACGGACCCGAAGAGGTTGTATCAATTCGACGGGCATGGAGGGTGGTACACCACGAGCATTGGCAATCGTTTCCATTGGACGAATTAACCCTTAGAGCACGGGACATCGCGTAGCTGAGCATTTTATATAGAGGGTGATTATTTAGCGAGATAATTATTGGATTGTATAACGGAGGTTGATTTTATCATCCTGCCAATTTTCATTGAGGACCACATCTGCAACTCTCCTCTTAAAGGTTAACAGGACTCGATCCTCTGCCGATCTTCGTCGATGTTCCGTTTGTCGTACGACTAAGCTCCGTGTAATCTCGTTGCCCTGGCCACAGTGATCGATAACCGAAACGCTTTTGCATAATGCACTTGTCGTTTGTCACCGTGTTTGGCTGATCTCGCAGCAAGAAGAGAGTCGTCATCGGTGTCTGATTTATCTTTACGGTTTCTCGACCCACTGACGGCTGGCTCTCCCTTTTTCCACCGATTAATGCGTCGCGATATCGACGGATGCCTCTGTCGCTTGACATCTCTTGATTAAGTAATAGCAATTAAACCGTCGATTTTCATCGCGTTCGATCGGAACTCTATAAGGGAAACCTCAGAGTTTGAACTATACTGATGCGAGTTGGAAAATAATCAATGAAGTTCCATCAGCGTCTGTGGACTTTGAATTCTAATTACTCGAATATTTTCATTTTTGAAAGTTTTAAGAGGAAGAAGAATGAAAAGCTTGGAAAACAAAGAGAAACAGGGCGAGGGAATGTCTATAATTTCTTCCGCTAGCTCGGAGCAGTAATTGAGCTACTTAAGGGTTCGCGCTTCTGGACAATTCAGGATAGTCCATCGTCGTGACGGGATAATTGAAAGGAGAGAAATGGAGGAGCGATGGAGAGCGAAAAGAAAAACATAAAAGGGGGAACGGAGAAGAGAGGGAACGGAGGCTGCTTAGCCAGAGCCCAGTCTTGTCCCGCTAATCGAATTATCATTAATTATGATACCGTGCGCGAGAAAGAAGAAAAGGTAAAAAGGGAGGTCGGCCTCCGCTAATAAGTATGATGGAGAGCAGGGAAGAATGAAGAGAGAGAAGCGGCCGAAAAAAGAGATAGATGGAAGCGGCTTTAAGTCAGTCGCTTCTTAAGAACTGAATTGACGTGTCTACTAATGGATCGCGCCTGCCCCATCTACTTTCTTCTTCAGCTTCTTTTTCGTCGTCTTCTTCCTTCCACCTTATCTTTTTCTTCCTCTTCTTCTTCTTCTTCTTTTCATTCTTATCGCTCCTCCTGTACCACTGTGGCTACTTTCGTAGCTTTAAACAAGCATCTGTTATCCTGCAGTCTTAAGAATTTGAAAAATTTCTTAAATGAACTACGTATAGTCCAGTTGCGCGTTCGTAACATTTCTCTCTCAAGGATGTACGTAGGTAATTCGAAATGACACGCCGAGATAAATCGGTCGGATAAGAGAATCGACGGGGAGAGAAAAAGGTGACGAGGAGTAGGAAAGAAAAAGAAGGTTGCAAGAGAAGCGGTGAAGTGTGCCGCAATCAATCTTACCTTGTACGCGAGCCAGAAGATTAATGCACTTTCAAATTTCATTAATTCCTCGCTGCATAATGAAACGCGGGGCGAACGAATAACTTTCCTTAACGCCGCGATAATGCCGCGGAGACTCCGCACCGTAATTGCATCAATTCGTTCGGTAATTCGCACAATTATCCTTTCTGATTTTCCGGCCTGCAACGAGCTAACTGCTCGAGAGCACGCTTCCAATTAATCACACGCGGACTCCACAAATCACCCGCGTAATTAAAGTATGTCGTTCCGTGGAATCAAGACAATTAATCGTTTGTCTTTCTTCCCTACCTCGAGAGGTATCCTGAACTCGGCTTGTACCACTTGAAAGTTGATCATTGAACTTTTATTATGGCATTCGATGATTGGGATTTACAGTCTGGTGACAGCCTCTTTTCAACAAAAAAGAAAAAGAAAAAAAAATCCAAACTTTCACTGTGAGATCTTCAATTTTATCCGAAGCAGCTCAGCCAAAGAAACAGCCTTTCATTAGCGATCGCTATCTCTCTTAAAAAGAAACTAAACGATCGCTCTTATTAAATCGAAAAAAAGATTGAATCCGCTCGTATAACAAGTATAAGAACAGAAGTGCGAATAATTAATAAAACTGAGATGTTCTCATGAGATATTCTGCAGGAAATCACAGCTTCACTCGTCGAATGAAGAATCTATAATAATCGTTTCCCTGGCTAATTAATCTTTCACTCCAATTAAACATCTTAACTGACGTGAACGCGTTGCTCTTCCGAGTGAACCGTAAAAATAATCAAAAATAGAGGTGCAAGGACGGGATGAACAATTAATGGGCAGAAAATATTTGTATTGAAAGGAAGGACGGAATTAAAGCGGTCGGGATAGATGTAACGGCGTCGCGACGTTCTGAAACGCCGCAGGTAAAAGTGCTTTGTTAGGGGGAGTAATTTCGATCGCGTGACAGCGGCAGTGTAGCGCAAAGGGGGAGGAAGGCACGGGCAATTACGTGTAATTTCATACTCATTTATTGCCAGGATAGCTCGTTTTTCGAGTCTCACCATCGACGATCGATCGAATCGATGGATGATTCGAAAAGGTTTCAATTATTCACCGTCGATTCATTATAAAACAGTAAAATTATAATATTAACAATTTAACTCTGTTAAATTCATCCGATTCTACTTTATAAAATATTATAATATATCCAACCCCGTATTCCATCATTTCTTTCTCCATAAAGGAGGGCCTCTAACCGATCTTCGCGGTGCTACGAAATTTTCTTCTTTTTCTCATGTAAGACGAGTCACGAAGACAGAAACGATGTCGAGAGAGCGAGCGAGAGGCGCGCCGATTTAACCGAATTACCGTTGGATCAAAGCTCGCGAGTGGTAATTGGCGCACAGGTGTCGTCGATCAATCGTACACCGGCCGTCAGGGAAGCTATTTCGCTCGGATACCGAAACGTTTCGTGATCGATCGTGCAAGCAGACGGGCTCCGTGCCTGGACGAATCCAATGAGACACATCATCGAGCCACGATACGGAGACAGACGAAACCGATAGAAGGGTTGAGAGAACAGGATGGCGGAAAGGAAGTGGAAACGCTCGTCGTCGGGTATACCCTGTGATTTGTGCGACATTCAATTCTTACCAACACTACGAATCAAGATTTCTATCAAATTTATAGAATTAAATTAACCTGAACCCTGTTATAATCAATTAGAATTAATCTATGAATCGCAGTGAGAAAAATTGAAAAAGAGGCCATCGCAGGCGGCCAGGTCGACTCGAAT